CTGTCTTGATTGTGATTTGTCTTCTTGTATTTCCTTGGAAGCTCCGCTGAAGCCGCCCAGCTTTCCCAGGCCGGTTGTGCTAAGCCACAAGCTCGAAGTTCCTCGCACGAAACAAACCTGGGGAGCAAGGTCAGGAGCAAACATGGCCCAGGCTTTCTCTCAACTCTTGGTTCCGCGGAGATTGGCCTGGGTTGGGTGAGGCCATGCAACTTTAAAGGCATGGGCGGCGATTGCTGCTTGCCAGCGATCTCCCAAACTTGGAGACGGCTTCTGAGAAACGACACAGGCCTGAAAGCGCGTGTTTCCCAGCCCTATACCAGACTTTTGCCGAATGTTGCTGCCAACCTTCCGGGATTGAATCAAACCTGCCTCACACTCCATTCGAGTCGCTTGCTTCGGGCGCCCGTTCGGGGCCGCACTTGAGACCTGTAGCGGCTTTGCGCGAGCTTGTCCAAAGTAGGCGTCCCACTTGCAAGAAAAGAAGAGCTTGGTCCTGAATGCCGGGAAGCTGTGGGCGTGCTGCGGCGTTCTTGGGGTTTCAGGGCCCGTGCCATCCTACCCAACGCTGCCCAAAGAAAGCAGCCACAAGCTGCAACTTGCTCTTTACAGAGCTAGTGACCATGGCTTGATGCCCACACTGTTCTCCGGTCAAGGCTTGCCAAGCATGGAAAGCTGCGGCCGTACGACTCTTTCTGGAACTGCAGGGAACAAGCACGTTTGCGCAACTTGAGCAGTCTCAGCTGACTGAGGCTGACCGGAGGGTGCAGTCCTGCGCATGATTTGGGGCGTTCCCTAAGGGCACATGATGTCAAAGTTGGTGTTGAAGGATAACACCAGCAACAACCGCCGTGATTTTCAACGAAGCCCTTTCGGTGCCCTGGCAAGCGTGCCTGCCCTCGTGCTTAGAACTTGTGGGCATGGCTTGCCAGCTCTCAAGAGGCAGGGTTCTGTGTGCTCGGAGCTGCGCGCATGAGTGAGTGGCAGAGCGCCCACACGGCGGCTTTGGCTCGCCAAGCAGGGGAAGCTGCTGTGAATGCGCAATGCATAATGGAACAGACGACGATCAATACGTTTGCGCCACTGCTGATGATGCATGGCCCCGGCTAAAACAGGCTTGAGCTGCAATGTCGCGAAGGCTCCTTCAGAAGCCTTCACATCCAAGCTCTGCAGCGGATTCAATCGCATGACCCTAATGAAGCCGTAGGATTTGCACAGATCCACAGATGACTTTTGTACCATTGTGCCCAAATCCTACAAAGCTGGGGCCCATTGCTCGTCAAAAATGCTTGTTTGCAGGGGGAAGCCTTACCCTTGCAACTCCCTAGCACACGTACCAATAGCTGCCATGGCTGCTGGACTCTCAACAAGTCTGCAACAGCACCAACCGAGACAGACATTGTATCTCTGGTTTGAGATGCTAAAGTCAGCCGATATTTCTCTCATGGCTGATTTTGGTGAGGCATGGCCAAGTGTGACAGCGTGGTTTGGAGATGATATGCCTACTCGACCTGTACTGTTGCAGGCCGGTGCCACCCGCAGCACAAGCAAAGCGTGCCGCCGTGTTTTTCAAGGAGGTTGCAACATCTCCGATTCTGGCGTCTATGCTGCCCATGTGGCTGGAAGCGCCGGGCATGGCTGTTTTGAGCAGGGCTCCCAATAAAAGCTACATATCAGCCATTCAAAACATGACTTTATCCACCAAAATCCAATCTCCTTTGAGGTGCTGTTTGTGTACACCATGAAGGCCGTCACGTCACAGCCAGCTTGTCTTGTAAAGAGGACGTCTCTACAGCGAAAGCACGGTTGTAGTCTTTCTGAAAGGTCCCTGAAAACGAGCCCGAAAAGGGTACAGGAGGTTCGTTAGGTCCCCCTCTGAAAAGAACCCAAAAGGAGTTTAGTGGCCGGATGCAACCAAGGGAGCTACTCTCCTGCTCCCCTCCTGTTCCTTCCCCATCTTGAATTGGCAGACTCCACGACTCGGGGAAACACCGGGAAACCGGGGCTGCTCTACAGCCCTCAAACCCAGAATGCTGGAGAAGAAAGCCACCAACTCAATCGCCCCTCAGGGACCCAGAAACTAAAGGTGATCCTGCAACCTGTTTTGCGCGCCCTATCATATCATCGGAGATTGAGCGCTTATACGGTTGAGAGGGAACGGATAGAGATGAATGGCTTTTCTGTCAGCCATGTCCCTCTCCTATCCCATCCCTTCGTACGCCATCAAATTCTCAGATGAACCGCTATTACAGAAAGGACTTGGAAGCTCATGAAAAGGAGTCGTTTCCCGCGCTGTCCCTGCATGTCAAGGCAACTGCAAGCTCCAGGAATTTGGTCGGCGATTTGCAGAAGCAAGGGGACTTGGGCCATGCCCGAAGTAAGTATGCTTGCGGATGGGTGCCATTTGTTTGCATGTCCGAGTCAGCTGCTCTGTTCTTGCAGCTGCCAGCTCATGCATTTTTTTCTGCAGTCCTTTGTTGATTCGAAGTCCGAGGCTGCGCACGAACAGGAGCTGCAAAGCCTGAGTTATCCTTGCTGAATGTTCCCAGTCCGAAGGCGATTTAAGCCTTAGATCCATGCACTTGACTCCTGGCGGTGGTTTCACTGAGTGGATTTCGGATGTGGTTCATCACCTGGTCCAGCCAGCGGCATGCACGCACACTTCAATCTTACCAGAAGTGCGAGTTCGGAGCATTCCTCCACTGAGTTTCATGACATTGAGGCAGGCAATGGCTGACCGGGACTCGTCAGCTTTGGCACGCTTCTCAAGGCTTTCACAAAATCTGGGACCGCGCGCTTTGTGCCCTTTCAGCCGCACCCTCGCCCCTGGTGCCGGGCACCTTTCTGTGTGAATTCCGTGCCCTTGCAACGTTTGGAAGGGGTGGTTGCGTCGTGTCGTTTTTTGTGACTGTTGCGGATGTCAATCCAGCCTTCGAAAGGTCGTAGGGGTGGACATTCCATGCACCAGGGCAGCATTTCAGCCGCTGCTATGCCAGCAAGTGCTACCCAGAATCCACCTTTTCAGTCATGATCACCCCATCTGGAGGCCCCGACCTTTTTGGAGTGCTATTTGCAGCGTGAACGCAGGAGTTTACCAGCAAGTTGGTTTGAGCCAGAGGCTGCTTGTGCACGACGCAGAGATGTGCATTCAACCCAAAGATGTCCCTGTTTCGGATCAGTTTGTAGTGGCTCTGAATATAGCAGCTCTAGCACTACTGACCCAGGGCCAGTTTGCCACAGCAACAACGGCGTGACCCCCCTCAAACCCGCGTGTGTCAGGGTAAGGAACTCAGGTCAGCGCTTGAGCTTGCGTGGCCCGATGCGCTATGCAAGTGCAAGCGGGATTTGGGTTTTGAAGGGATCCGTTTTGGGAGCACTATAGGGCTTCCATTTTGGGCCCTTCATACCGGAAAGTGCTGAGGCTGTGAAGCAATTCCCTTTGAGAGTTTCGCCGTCCTGAGAGATAGGCATGCTGTCGGGCGGGCTACGTGCCAAGCACCGTTGCTTGAGGAGAGCTAGCAACTTTCTGCTTCAGCTGTAAAGTGCTGCTAGCAAGAGCAGGAGTTGAGATGACTTGGTGAGCGGCAAGACCCTCCTCTCTCAACCAGCACCTCCAGCACAAGCCTTCATGCTTTGCGCGCCGAACGGTCCACTTTGAGTTTTGGCCGCTGCCAGAAAGGTCGCGGCCTGACAGCCAGCAGGTGGACAGCAACGCTGAGTTGAACTTGTAGCTGGGTTGAGACATTTGGACATTCGAGACAAGCGTATGCCACTCGCACAGCGCTGCTTGTAGCGCATTGCGGCCAGATTCCAGGGGCCTCATGTCAATGCGTTTTGTGAGCTCCGCAAGCTCTGACCCTTGCGTGCAAGTTGCAACTGCCGGTGTCAGGGGCCTGCAGAATGACGGGCCGTAAACATCACTGGGCTGTATTTGGCTCCTCTTCTTCCTAGGAGGTCTTCGCAATCCCCTGCACGGGGAAGCGCTCAGGGCTGTTGAGACGAAGCCTCCAACCCGCAGAGGCGTTGGGTGCTCGGTCGTGCCGGTCTTGCTTCCACACTGAAGCGCTGCCTTAAGCGGACACACATGGCCTTGACCGCATGTCTACCTGTCCTGGTGTTCCTGGCATTGGACAACTCCTCCTGCCCAAGCTTTTGTAGTCGCGCCCAGCCACAATGCAGCGTTGGACGGTTGCCCCACTTGACTTGCCAAGAGGCCTGCAGGCTGGTTTTGTTTGTTTGCCCTGTGTGCAACGGCCTCAGCATCAGCTCTGCCAAAGCTCCTCCCTGAGTTGGCAGGCTCGAATTCGCGCACCGTGGCATGCTTGTCTTGAAACGGGCTCCCTGGGACTTGTGTTGAGCTATCTTAGCCTTCTCGAGAAGCATGCTTTGCATATCTGTCACGGACTTTGCCTGGGAGTTTCTTGACCCAACAGCTTTCCGGCTTTCGCTAGCAGTGGTTGCAGCATGTTGCAGCTGGAGTCCGTGGGGAGGCTGCTATTGCAAGATCCGTTGAGGCCACGTCAACGTAGAGTAAGTGGGCTTGGCACGACTTACTGACAGCGCATTGCCACAAATTCATGCAATCATTCTGCCAGCAGCAGGAGATTCGTCAGTAGTTGCAAGCGCGGCGTTGCCTAGTCCAGAAACCGAGTCATATTTGCAAACACTCCAAGTACTCATGCGCTATGCTTTAGTAGTGACAGCTGCTGAGAAGGTTGTTGCATTGCGCAGCTCATTTGGAAGCTTGTGCGCAAACGATTTTGGGCAACTTCGCAAGCCTTCGATGGTATCTTCTCAGCTCAGTCGGTTACAAGGCAAAGCGCACGCTGTCCGACTTTTTGCGGCTTGTTTGTTTCAGTCACACCGCCCAATGTCAACGAGCAGCCTTGCTGCCGACAATGCGTTGGTGTCAGTGTCAGCTGTATCCTTTGCCACTTCTCTTGCTTTGATCTGTTCCCGGGCAATGAGTTGAGCCTGCCAGCAAGCAGAATCTTGATACTGGGATGAGCCGCCAAGTTCTACTCAAGGTGCATGCGGTTGATTCAAGCAACTGCGCAGGTGGCGTGAGTCAGAGCCGTGTAGTGTCAGACAGCTGCTCTGTGCAGCCAAGTGGTGCGAAGCGAGCAAACATGTTTGTCTTGCACACAATCGTATGTGAGGACAAACGCGTAGCGCCGCCACCTGTTCCACTGGTGCGAGCGCTGGTTACCGGTGACGGACTGTTGGTCTGCCCTTTGTTTGTGACTTGGACAAGTAGCTCCTGTTTTCAACCTGAGGCGCAGTTTTTTGGAAATCTACGTGGAGTGGCCAAAAGGTGATGTGCCGATCATGCAGCAGACCTTGCTGGGTCAAGCAACTCTCTCACAGACTGAAGACTGGGCTACGTGACGACGAAGTAGGCCACCAGTGCAGTGCCATTGTGATGGAAATTACGTTTCTTATTCTTTTCTGACCTGGTTGGAAGACTGCAGGCCCCTTCTCAGGAGTACTTGTGACGTTCACTGGAGCTTTCCCCTCGACAGGCCTGCCGTTTGTGCGCCACGCGTCCACTCGGCCAATTCCGTGTTGGGGGCACACAGTTTCGGAGGAACCTGGGAACCCGCGGGGACCAAACTGCGTTTAGCAACTTAGCTTTCGCTCATTTGGGTGCAGCGCCAGTAAGTCAAGTGGCTTTTTCAGATGGGGCGATCTTGGCTTGCAGATTGCCAGGAGCCGGGCTTCACTGGGCTCCTTCGGCGGGAGGTTGCGCTTATTTGGAGCCTTGCCGATTCCAAGTCACAGCCGTCCATGTCTGTGTGCGCTTGCAGCATCTGCAGTCGCCAGCTCATATCAGCCAGAGCCATGTGGTTGTTCCATGCCACGTGCGCACGCATTTCGGAGCCCGCAGAATTACCGAGCTGGGGTCACGTTGGCTCGATAAACACTAGCTCAATTGTGAGTCCAATGAGTGCCCTTGCAGATGGGGCAATCTTGGCTTGCAGGTTGTCAGAAGGCGAGGCTTCGCTGGGCTTGAAGCAGCCTTGCAGTTTGCTGGCTTCTTTGGCCTTGCAGAGCGGCTGCGCTTATTTGGAGCCATGCCGACTCCAAGTCTTGCAGTTGCAAGCTCATATAAGCCAGAGCCATGTGAGCAGCGATCAAGCTTGCCACGGGGAAACTTAGCTTTGGGCTGCCAAAACGGGTTTCCGTGGAAGCGCGGCTTCCCGTTCCAAAGTATTACATTTTGTCCGTTGAATTTTGGAGTGGTTGTTCCATGCCATGTGTGCGTGCATTTGGGAGCCCGCAGAATCACTGAGTTGGGGCCACGTTGGCTGGTTAGAAACTAGCGCGAGTGTGAGCAAGCATCCGTTTCCCAGTAAGTCCAATGGCTGCTTTCATCTTGGCTTGCGGGTTGCCAGGAGGCGGGGCATGCGCTTATTTGGAGCCAGGCCAATTCCAAGTCACAGCCGTCCATCTCCGTGTATACATCCGTTATTTGCAGTCGCAAGCTCATATCAGCCTGAGCCATGTGGTTGTTCCATGCCACGTGCGTGCGCATTTCGGAGCCCGCAGAGTTACCGAGCTGGGGTCACGTTGGCTCGATAGAAACTAGCTCGAGTGTGCTTCCAATAAGTCCAATGAATCTTGCAGATGGGGCTATCTTGGCTTGCAGGTTGCCAGAAGGCGGGGCTTCACTGGGCTTGAAGCAGCCTTGCAGTTTGCTGGCTTCTTTGGCCTTGCAGAGCGGTTGCGCATATTTGGAGCCATGCCGACTCCGCAGTTACAAGCTTATATAAGCGCGTGCGCATTTCGGAGCCCGCAGAATTACAGAGCTGGGGTCACGTTGGCTCGATAGAAACTTGCTCGAGTGTGAGTAAGCATCCGTCTCCCAATAAGTCCAATGAGTTCCCTTGCAGATGGGGCAATCTTGGCTTGCAGGTTGTCAGAAGGCGAGGCTTCGCTGGGCTTGAAGCAGCCTTGCAGTTTGCTGGCTTCTTTGGCCTTGCAGAGCGGCTGCGCTTGTTTGGAGCCATGCCGATTCCAAGTCTCAGCTGTGCTTGCTTCTTTGCAATGGCAAGCTCGCGCTGGCCTGAGACATGTGGCCTCAACTCCTTCAGTCACGCAATGCTCGAGCGAGTCGTCGCAGAAACAGGTATCAGATGTCGTCGCAAGTGCAACTTGAAGTGTGGCCGCTGATTCATCCAGCGGCTGTCAAAAGCAATGAGTTGGTCGCTGACACTCCCCTTGCAGCTGCATCGCGGGTGAAGCGGTGGATATTCTTCGGTTCTATCCAGCAGACGAGTCTAATACTTTGCTTGGCTTCGCACGTGAATGCTTGAGCGCATGAGGGCCACAGTAGCTGAGCACCCACCTTCAAAAGCAAGGGCCGCGAAGCTTTCGGCCATGAGTAGCCATTTTGCAGATGATGCGCCTTCTTGAGCCCTGCCTGCTCAGCAAATGCCCAGCTATGGCAATTTAGTCTGCTGGCAGAAGAATTGGCTCGATGCTTCACGTGTCAATCCTCAGTCCTGGACTGGGGGGGGGGGGGGTTTTGGTGCTGTGCTCCGGAGCCACTCGCGCAAGCGCGCCAATACTAGGGCATAGCGGCATAAGTAGAGGGAGAAGAGGGCTTGCCTGTCAGGCGAAGATTCAATTCCGAACCCCTGGTCCTTCGCATGAGCCCGACTCATTGGATGCTGCCCTGACTTTCGGTCGCTTCCCAGCCACCCCATGCAAGAACATATCACAGGGTCCAGTGTGGGCTGTCCGGATCCTACCCTGGTTACCCAGGTTTCAAGTCCCAAAAAATAGCCTGAGAAGAAGCGATGGCAATCTGGTTGCTGCTTCAACATAGAGGCCAGTTCCATGCAGATGCTGGCCAGGGTTTGTTTTTTTCGCATTGGTCCCAAAGCTGCCCGTGATAAGTCTGGTAAGTCTGCTGAGTTGAGTGCTTCTGGAGCTACGGACTTCAGCGTCCCAGCTGACAGTGTTGCTCAGCACGGTCACTGGGACATTGCGCCGTTTTGAGAGCAACGCTGGGGCGTAAGTGCCGGCGGAAATGCTCGCGCAGAGCAGACAGGAGGCAACACGTGTCAAAACGTTTCAGAACATGTCTTTGACCCTGGTTGAGCTACCAACAGCAGACAGAGCAGACAACCCCAAGGCTGAGGTTGCAGGCGCGAGAGGCGCCCGTAGCATTTTGCACAGAAATCTTGGGCGATCTCTTGAGGAAAAGGCTCATGCTGGTGGAGCTTTCGCAGCAGCCAAGATATGATGACTTACGTTTGCGCTGGCATGCCTTCAACATCCAAGATTCATTGTCATCGTGTGCGCAGCGGCAGCATTTTGAGGGCTTGGCGCAGACCATTGCCTTATTGTCCCAGGTCGGTCGGTGCAAGTAGTGTGGGAGCAGATTGGCGGCTCATCCAACATGGGCGTGGCCACCCAGCGGCCGGCGGCCCGGGTCCGATTGGCCACCACACGTACATTGCGATGCGGCCTGGGCACAGCGCTCGAAGTTCCTCTTCTCACGAAACAAACAAAACAAGTGCTACATCAAATTGGAGTTTCCTTTGTTTTGATCTTTTTGAAGTGTAGCAATGTGCAGCATGAGGCCCCGGGTTTGAGACAGAGACTGTGCCAATGCTGCTAGAATCGCGCCGTGCCACAGACACTAACACAGACTCACAAACAGGGTCGTCAAGAAGAATACCAGTCCTTTTCCGGGTCACTGGCTGCGCTGGCCTCTGACTATTGGGCGCTCTTTGGTGCTGTGGACCTTGGTCAGGGCTCGCTGTACTTCCGCTTACGGAGCTTGCCTGTCCGCCCACTTGCGCCAGCTCGCCAATACTAGGGCATAAGGTCATAAGAAGAGTAGGCGAACCCTTGTCCTTCGCATGAGCCCGACTCATTGAACGCTGCCCTGACTTTCGGTTGCTTCCCAACCACCCCATGCAAGAACAAGGGTCCGGGCTGTGGGGAGTTACCCAGGTTTCGGGATGGCAATCTCGTTTCTGCTTCAACATAGAGGCTAGTCCCCTGCTTATGCTGGCCAGGGTTTTTCCCCATTGGTTCCCTGGCAAGTCTGCTATGGACTTCAGCGTAGTTGCTGAGACTGGGGCATTGCGCCGTTTTGATTGGGAAACGCCGGGGCGTAAGTCCGTTTTTCCGGAGATGAGCTCACCTTGCATCACTGAGCTGCACGGTGACCGGCAAGATTGCGTGACACCGGCAGAATGTTCATATCCCAAAGGAACCAGCTGCAACGCCAGACAAAGACGCCCTGCGGAGACTGTGCAGTGGTGCAAAGAGAAGTCCAAGAAGCTTCCCCGCCTGCGAGGACACCCAGTTGCACCAGTTCAACGCACGGCTGGCTGCCGCCGGCCACCAAAGACCCTTGCGAGTCTCATTACCGGACTTACGCAAGCATCCCATCCGCTTGTGCGGCCGGTTGCCAAAGGCGAAGTCCAGCACCACATGTCTCATGCACTGCCGTCGGCGAAATACCGACACCGTGCCGCACATTGCACTGAGGAAGTCATCCGCACTTGTAGCCTTGCATTGTGAGTAGTTTGCAAGGCGCCTACATCAGACCAAAGCCAAGTCCGTGTCTGCTGACAAGGAACGCTTGCGCATGCTGAAATCAGCGCGCGCTCCAATGCCGGCATGTGATAATTGACCACATATGCGGCAACCGAATTTTCGTCCATGTGCATGGCAACTTTCACCCCGTAGTCTTCTTCCAGAAGAGGGCAATTGCGTTGATAGCCTGGCCCCACCCTCCCGCAGAAAGTTACTGCCTCATGCTTCACGTCTTGTTCCTGAATATCTGGGTAACAAACCTGACTTGCTGCTCGTCCTGCGCCCGTGCTTGCCAATTTTGATCCGTGGCGAGCTTCTCCCCCATATCTACTGCTTTGTGAGAGCTTCAGGGTGATTGGGTTGTCACGCCATCTGACTATGACAACTTTGTAGGCGTCACAGCACCCGAGTGCTGACAAGAAGCAACGCAGAGACTAATACGTTTCAGAGTTCTTCTGCAGATACAATCCGCAGCGGCTGCAGCACTTGGAGGGCCAGACCGTTGCCTTGTTTTCGAAGGTGATTGCAAGTAGTGTTTCTGGCAAACAATGAGCATCGCAAGTGCTGCGCTTTGCAAAAGACTTCCTTTGCGATTCGGCAACTGGCAGTGCTTTACGCAGCTCTCAGGCTGTGAGCTTGAGGATTACGCGAGCAAAGATCTTGTGGTATCGCATGTTTCACTGACAGCAGCTTACAGAGAAAGACGCGCGCAGTGCAATCGGTTTTAGCAGGAACACTAAGTAGGGTCATGTGTTTGAGATGTGCGCGATATTTTGGCTCAAGGCAAAAGAGTGCTCCCCGCGCAAAGGCGAGGCAAGAAGATCCACAGGCCGGTCAAGACCACGTTTTGCAAGCTTTGATGGATCAACTGGGTCAACGCCAAAACCAAGTTTCGGAATTGTCGAAGCCTAGCAAAAGAAGCAAATCAAAGAGTAAGCGCGAATTCCGAATCATGGTCGGCCCAGAAGAGGTCCCTACCAGCAGACATAAGCTCGCCGACAATTTCATTCATTTCCGTATCCCGTCAATTTCTTTCCATTTCCTTTCGGCTAGAAGTGCTAGAAGTGCCCAAGCCCAGCCGGGGCCTAAAAATTACTCGTTTCGAAACTGCCTGCGTCAAAGGAGCGAATAGCGCAGGATTTCCTTACCAGTTCCTTTCAATTTCCTTTGGCCATTTCTATTCCGTTGCCATGTCCTGTCAACATCCGTTCACCACCATTCCTTTCCATTTACGTGTTCTATTCTTTCAATTTTCGTCCTTGTCCGTTCTGTTTCCTTTCAATTTCTCAACTCCAGCCAATCCCTTGATTTGCATTCCTCTTCCTTTCCATGGCCCTTTCCATTTCCTGTTTATTATTCTTATTTCTGTTAATTCCTTTCCACGTCTTTTCAGTTTCCTCGCCATTTCTATCCGCTTCCCATTTTTTCTTCTCATTCCCTTGATTCTCTTTCATTTCTCGCCATTCCTGGCTACATGTGCCCAGTGCTAGGCTGGGCCGAAAAGCACTCATTTCACCAAAACAATAACTTGATAGCCGTTCCAGTTCTTTTCAGTTTCCTTTCCAGTTGCATTCCATGCCTTTTCCTTTTCATTTTCTCTC